ACTGTTATTTACTAGATAACCAAAGAATTGGCGTTAGTACTGAAGCTAGTATCCACTGAGACGAAGTACAGAATAAATGACAAGAAGAACTTCATCTAGAAAATGAACAGAAACTCAAGCTGTTATACTGAAGGCGCTTTTCAATAATATTCACACAAACACGTATCTCCTACTCTCTGCTATCATAAAAGACATTGCAGCAGATATAATCAAAAACCATTCTGAGAAACTGCAGCGTTGAACTCCTTCAAATATTTGGTCCTGTAATGGTAGAAGTTATTTTTGAGTTTGTGGATAACATGTTTTGAAACGTACGGGCGTTCCAATTAGCCCTTCGGTCAGTGTTATGCTAACAGACTTGACCTGGAAAACAAGGCTTCTGGATCAGTGGCAGAGCTGCTTTCGCCGTTGTTATATGCTCGATTCTTCCATTATATTTCGAAAGACGCAAGGTACACTTCTGAACGATTTCATGTCGTATATGAACGAAAAGTACAGCAATGGTTGCCATATTGAATACACCACAAAAGATGAACGACAGCAAATCCGTTTGGTCTTAGACGTGCTAGTAAAAACTGATACTCAGGAGAACTATTGTAAGTGTGAATTTTCGGTCTAGAAAGTCTGCTCACTTCAGTAAGTATCTTCACATAAAATCTTGCTTCCCATCTGAATTATTTTGGAACAATGTGAAGAATGTGCTTAATCGTGCAACAGCAGTACAAAACTCTGGAAAATACCTCAGTAAAAAAGTTAACGATCCTTACAAGACTCCTATTTTTGCAGAACTCTTACTTACCGACAGTGTTAAATATTGAACTACTGTAAGTTAAACAGACCATCAGAAAAACATATCCGTACCCATAATATTCATTGCATTTTGCCCCCAAGTTTCAGAACGAGTAAAAAAATAGTTGATAAAAAATGCGTTGCGTTTATTTTCTACTAAAAGAATGAAATTACATTGTTGATGCGTCGCGTCTTTTTAAGTCATTGTTGTTTATAAGTGATTTATACAGTGATTTCGACAAAATATATATTGTCAAGACCTGTCCCATGCTTTCCCATGGTAATTAGTCATAGATCATGAATGAAAAACTTCGATCC